CAGCATGCAGAGGGGAATTCCTTATCAAGTTACCCTATAAGTATTGCTTACTTATGTCAATTATGTATAGCTTTTAATGATTCTGATTTTGGCATTATATTTAAAGGCTTTTAAACTCAAGATTTGATATTATCCTGCTTTCCTACTTTATTTTATCTAGTTAATCATTGTTTTCATCTATTTAACTGTCTTTTTCTATATGTGTTTGCTATTATGTATGTCAAAAGGTATTATATGATGTGGGCTAGATCATATACTTATGTATATTAAATAGTAGCAACAGTAACAGTATTTGGATTGATTTACTGTGATGCCATTATATGTATTTGACCAATGAATACCTGGGCAATTCTGTGGTTTGACAATTATCCTCACATTTTTATTATAAAAATTTGGCACACATCTTTCCTACAAAGCTCTCTAAACTTGGTGCCGTTTCTGGAGGTATAATGCATCCTCTGAGTGGTTTTATAGTGGGGAAGTTTTGGTGATGACCATGTGCGGTGATTAACATGACTGTAATTGTCATCAGAAAAGAGAGTCCCCCAGTGACTCATAACCACAACTCTCTCTGAGCTTTACCCTCACAGTGTTCCTAATTCAACATTTCCCTTCCTTGGGGCTGAGGAATGAACCCACAGCCTCACATGGCTGACATGAGGATTAAAGTATAGTCATAGCTCCTGGGACACAGGTACCCTGGAACAACACTTGTCTACACCTCTATGCACACAGATATCAGAGAAGACAAAACTCCAAGCATAGCTGTACTTTCATGTGCTCATCTGTGCTACAAGGTAGAGAAGTAGGTGGGGGTTGAACAGAGTTTAGATAGGGCTATGTAAGAGCAAAAGAAGACGGGCGAGAAGAATGACCAAATAAACACAAAAAATGGACTACTAAAGGGTTTCTCGAGTAGGGGAATGAGGTGGGGAGACTCTTAGGAATGGGGGGAATAGAAAGATATTTCTAGAAGACTTGAGCATTGCTGTTCCAAATTTCACAACTATTTTTATCCTTTTTTTCCTGTTTTCCAGCAAGATTAAAAATGTTAACCTCCAAGCTTTTATATAAAAATTTATTAAAATTTGTTATATCTCACAAACTTCATCTCTTGGAAGCACTTCTCATCCAACTGACATGTGCTGGTCTCCGTCTATGCCACGAACTTTCCTGTTGTAGAGATTTAACGTAGTGAAGTCATATATGCCTTTACTTAGGCCTGTTTGTGTCATGGCCATGTGTTCTGTATCCCATCCTCTTTCATTGCCGAGTAACACCACGGTGTAAGGACACACCACCTTTCCATTTTAAATTTAACAATTGCAGAAATAGCCCACACTATTTGCTACACTAGTTGTGCTAAGTGTACAGTCTGGGATTGTGAAGGATATGCACGTTCTCATGCAACAAGTCTCCAGAGTTCTCCAGCTTCCAAAACAGACAAGTTGACTCTTCAAGTGCTTTCTAATTCTTCTGCTCTCCTTCAGTTCCCAATAACCACAGTGTGCTTTCTGCTTCTTCAAATTTGGATATTTATAAATATGTTAAGTACTAATTATTGACATCAATGTAATTAATACTAATGATTGATAATTAATATTAATTATTTAATAATAATGATGAACATTAAGTAAAATCATACAGCATTTCATCTCTGGCTGATCTTACTGAGCTCAACACTCTCAAGAGTCATCTAGATCAGAACATAGACGTAGCATTTTACATCTCCATTAATAGGATATAGGGGATTTAATTTCTTTTCACTTCTACCAAAACTTGCCACTGTCTCACCTTTTGACCACAACCATTCTGCTAACCGAGACGTGCTGCTTCAATGCGACTCTCACATTTCCCTAATTGCCAGTGATGCTCAGATTCCTCTTTATGAGGCTCACGCATTGCCCACTGTACTAAGGAACAGGGAAATAAAATCTTTAAATAGCAGAGGGGAAGGTTGGGGGTGTTGCTCAGCTGGCACAGTGCTTGTTAGTCACGCAGGAAACTCTGGGTTTGTCTGTCAGGACTCCACAGAACTGGGTGTGGTTATATACTTACAATTCCATCATTTGGAAGGTAGGGATAGAAGTATCAGAAGTTCAAGACCATCCTTGGTTACAAAGCAACTTTGAGGCTAGCCTGGGCTACATGAGACTCTGCCTAGAAGAGAGAAGAAGTAGCGGGGGAGGAAAGTGGGAGAGGTAGGGGGAGGAAGGGAGGGAACGTGGAAGCCCAGGGAAAGAGAAGGTTTGGTATCTGCCACTGTGAGGAAATCAGTAACTAAAGGGAGGGGAGGCCCATTGCTCGGGTCCAATCAATATTAACCCTGTTGATAAGAACACTTCTGGTACAACATTGCTAGTCACTGTTCTAGGCACTCTCTTATATTTTTTCTTGAGAATGGCAGGCCTGGAGATAGAGCGGGTAGAGTGCTTGTCTAGCATGCTCAAGGCCCTGGGTACCACAGGAGCTCAGCATGGTGACACACACCTTTAAGCCTCTGCACTTGGGAGGCAGAGGCAGGAAAAGCTGAAGCCCGAGGTCATCCTCAGCTGTGCAGCAGGTTTGCGTCCAGCCTGGGCTACTTAAGTTTCCATCTCAAAACAAAGCCATACTGGAGACACAACTCAGAGCTCTGTGGGTAATTCTTTTCACAACCGTCCTCGAAAGCTTCCTTCAGGAAATCAGGTCTTTCAAGCCAAGTGTGATGTCACGTGCCATGCCTTTAATCCCAGCACTTAGGCAGAGGCAGAGGCAGAGGCAGAGGCAGAGGCAGAGGCAGAGGCA